TACAAAATAATACAAAATAATACAAAATAATACAAAATAATACAAAATAATACAAAATAATACAAAATAATACAAAATAATACAAAATAATACAAAATAATACAAAATAATACAAAATAATACAAAATAATACAAAATAATACAAAATAATACAAAATAATACAAAATAATACAAAATAATACAAAATAATACAAAATAATACAAAATAATACAAAATAATACAAAATAATACAAAATAATACAAAATAATACAAAATAATACAAAATAATACAAAATAATACAAAATAATACAAAATAATACAAAATATTACAAAATAATACAAAATAATACAAAAATAATACAAAATAATACAAAATAATACAAAATAATACAAAATAATACAAAATAATACAAAATAATACAAAATAATACAAAATAATACAAAATAATACAAAATAATACAAAATAATACAAAATAATACAAAATAATACAAAATAATACAAAATAATACAAAATAATACAAAATAATACAAAATAATACAAAATAATACAAAATATTACAAAATAATACAAAATAATACAAAATAATACAAAATAATACAAATTAAACAAATAATACAAAATAATACAAAATAATACAAAATAATACAAAATAATACAAAATAATACAAAATAATACAAAATAATACAAAATAATACAAAATAATACAAAATTACACAAAATAATACAAAATAATATAAAATAATACAAAATAATACAAAATAATACAAAATAATACAAAATAATACAAAATAATACAAAATAATACAAAATAATACAAAATAATACAAAATAATACAAAATAATACAAAATAATACAAAATAATACAAAATAATACAAAATAATACAAAATAATACAAAATAATACAAAATAATACAAAATAATACAAAATAATACAAAATAATACAAAATAATACAAAATAATACAAAATAATACAAAATAATACAAAATAATACAAAATAATACAAAATAATACAAAATAATACAAAATAATACAAAATAATACAAAATAATACAAAATAATACAAAATAATACAAAATAATACAAAATAATACAAAATAATACAAAATAATACAAAATAATACAAAATAATACAAAATAATACAAAATAATACAAAATACAAAATAATACAAAATAATACAAAATAATACAAAATAATACAAAATATTACAAAATAATACAAAATAATACAAAATAATACAAAATAATACAAAATAATACAAAATAATACAAAATAATACAAAATAATACAAAATAATACAAAATAATACAAAATATACAAAATAATACAAAATAATACAAAATAATACAAAATAATACAAAATAATACAAATAATACAAAATAATACAAAATAATACAAAATAATACAAAATAATACAAAATAATACAAAATAATACAAAAATAATACAAAATAATACAAAATAATACAAAATAATACAAAATAATACAAAATAATACAAAATAATACAAATAATACAAAATAATACAAATAATACAAAATACTACAAAATAATACAAAATAATACAAAATAATACAAAATAATACAAAATAATACAAAAATAATACAAAATAATACAAAATAATACAAAAATAATACAAATAATACAAAATAATACAAAATAATACAAAATAATACAAAATAATACAAAATAATACAAAATAATACAAAATAATACAAAATAATACTCAAAATAATACAAAATAATACAAAATAATACAAAATAATACAAAATAATACAAAATAATACAAAATAATACAAAATAATACAAAATAATACAAAATAATACAAAATAATACAAAATAATACAAAATAATACAAAATAATACAAAGTTAATACAAAATAATACAAAATAATACAAAATAATACAAAATAATACAAAATAATACAAAATAATACAAAATAATACAAAATATTACAAAATAATACAAAATAATACAAAATAATACAAAATAATACAAAATAATACAAATAATACAAAATAATACAAAATAATACAAATAATACAAAATAATACAAAATAATACAAAATACAAAAATACAAAATAATACAAAATAATACAAAATAATACAAAATAATACAAAATAATACAAAATAATACAAAATAATACAAAATAATACAAAATAATACAAAAATAATACAAAATAATACAAAATAATACAAAATAATACAAATAATACAAAATAATACAAATAATACAAAATAATACAAAATAATACAAAATAATACAAAATAATACAAAATAATACAAAATATACAAAAATAATACAAAATAATACAAAATAATACAAAATATACAAAATAATACAAAATAATACAAAATAATACAAAATAATACAAAATAATACAAAAATAATACAAAATAATACAAAATAATACAAAATAATACAAAATAATACAAAATAATACAAAATAATACAAAATAATACAAAATAATACAAAATAATACAAAATAATACAAAATAATACAAAATAATACAAAATAATACAAAATAATACAAAATAATACAAAATTACACAAATAATACAAAATAATATAAAATAATACAAAATAATACAAAATAATACAAAATAATACAAAATAATACAAAATAATACAAAATAATACAAAAATAATACAAAATAATACAAAATAATACAAAATAATACAAAATAATACAAAATAATACAAAATAATACAAAATAATACAAAAATAATACAAAATAATACAAAATAATACAAAATAATCAAAAATAATACAAAATAATACAAAATAATACAAAATAATACAAAATAATACAAAATAATACAAAATAATACAAAATAATACAAATAATACAAAATTACACAAAATAATACAAAATAATATAAAATAATACAAAATAATACAAAATAATACAAAATAATACAAAATAATACAAAATAATACAAAATAATACAAAATATACAAAATAATACAAAATAATACAAAATAATACAAAATAATACAAAATAATACAAAATAATACAAAATAATACAAAATAATACAAAATAATACAAAATAATACAAATAATACAAAATAATACAAAATAATACAAAATAATACAAAATAATACAAAATAATACAAAATAATACAAAATAATACAAAATAATACAAAATAATACAAAATAATACAAAATAATACAAAATAATACAAATAATACAAAATAATACAAAATAATACAAAATAATACAAAATAATACAAAATAATACAAAATAATACAAAATAATACAAAATAATACAAAATAATACAAAATAATACAAAATAATACAAAATAATACAAAATAATACAAAATAATACAAAATAATACAAAATAATACAAAATAATACAAAATAATTCAAAATAATACAAAATAATACAGAATAATACAAAATAATTCAAAATAATACAGAATAATTTAAAATAATACAAAATAATGAGTACCATCAAGGCATTGTCAACAGACAAATGTAAAAATAGTATTAATAAAAGGTTCAATATTATAAATTGAACAATAGGCAAGTCTTTGTAACATCGAGATATTAGCTGCTCTTGTAGTAGCTAAAATGGTTCTTTTACTCCAGGGTATTATTTAAATCCGCGAGCTTATAACAGAAAAAAGTTTGAGTCAGTGGTAAAAATTGTGATTTCTCTTGTTACATTGTGTACGCCACTGGGTTAGTCGTTTGCATTCGAAGGAGTAAACGGAGTAAATATACCTATCAGCATTTGCATTTTTAAAGAATACACGAAAATATTTAAAATGTACCTAAATGCTAAATATTGAAATTTATTCGTACAGGAAATGAATAAACATAAAAATGTTATTACTAGACGGCTTCATAACATTGCTACGAAATGTTAAGTAGGTATTTGGTATCTGAAGAACTTGTGTAGGATATGGGAATTAAAATTTTTAAAATGAAAGAAAGTATTGTGACTCATTATAGTTCTGGTTTGAAACTAAGATACAAATTTTTAGTTGAATATATCAACTTTTCTAGTAGCTATAATCTAATAATTATTGTTTCGTAGTTTTTAATTTCCAAATTAAATTTTTTTAAGCCAGAAACATCTCGTATACAAACAATTGAAAATATCTATAGGTTCTTACATTTAAAAAGACTGATAGGTAATTATCTATACAGGGTGATATATTCGTCCATTTCATTTACCTTATACAGATTTTACCATAAATAAGGGAAGAGTTTATAGATCGGAAACTCGATGATACAATTCTAAGGTGATGTGTTTCCATCTATCAAATTGTAGTGGTATTAAATTCAATATGGCCGCTGCGGGCGGCCTTTTAAAATTAAATTTTTGATAGTTATTTAAAAATGTAATGAAAAAAATTAAACAAAAGAGGGTTTATTTTGTCTAGTTTTAAAGCACAAATATTTGCCTTTAATTAATTTCATTTTTTTAATTTTTTCTTGCAGTAAATTAATGCTGTAATATAAAATTTGTATATATTAATATGAAAATGTATAGACAAATTTGAATTTACACCATTTTAATAAATAAATATGAAAAAACCGAACCCGAGGGCTAAACCGCTGAAAAATGTTGAACACTAGTACACGTTTTGTCCCAAATGTTACGTAAATTGTACGCAAATAGTACAGAAATAGTACAAAAATTATAGTCTAGAATAAAGGTTTATAATGCTTGGCATTATGCTTGGCATTCTATATTATACTCTTCACAGTTTAAGGCTGTTTTCACGATACACTATTTTAGCTCTTACCTCTTGCTTATTTATGATCGGAACCATTTCATTTTTTAATGAGGTATTTAGAAGGAAAACATTAACAATCTGTATATTTTAAATATTTTTATTACAGCCTGATTTTTTAAATAAAAAATTGAAACTAAAATTTGCAAATATCAATTTTTTAAAACCTACAAATTATAGCTAATTTTTTTTTCCTAACTTTTTTCTATTTACAAGTTTTTGATAAAATTAAAAACTAAAAGAATGAAAAAAGCAAAAGACTTTTTGAGAGGACCCCAGATTAAAAAAAAGAGAACAACTGCACCTGCTGATAAGGAGTATGGAATGCTAGATAATAATATTCTAAATTTAGAAGAGAGAAAACAGTTTTTGGACAGTTTACCAAATTCAAAAGCCGAAGTATTAGAAATTGAAATTAAAACAAGAGGGCAAGCCAGGAACACCTGTTGGAGACTATATAGAATTTATATACTTACTGCTTCAAATTTCGGCACAATATGCAAATTAAAGAAAACCACAGACCCAAAGAAAACTGTTCATATTATTTTGTTTTCTTCAATCACAAATTCCAAAGCAACAACTTGGGGCAAAGATCATGAAAGCCATGCCAAAGAAGCATTTAAAACAAAATTTCAAAAAAAGGTTAAATATTGTGGTTTATTTATCTACGATAAACTTCCTTTTCTGGATGGAGTAATAAACACGTCGGAAATAATTGAAATTAAGTCCTTTCTCATGTGCCACAATGACACCTGAAATGGGTGTTGCAGAAGAAAAAATTAAATATTTGGTAGAAAAACAGGGCACGTACAGTTTAAATAGAAACCATAATTATGTTTATCAGGTTCAAGGACAGCTGGCAATAACGGGAGCAGAGTGCTGTTTTTTTATGTATGGACTCCATTGGGAATTCAATAAGTAGTTTGTTGTATTTTAGTTCATTGTTGTTTTTTATTGTTTGCCATTAAATAGGTATTATAAAATTTGTCAAAAAAACGTGTTATGTTTTAAATATAAAAAATATTTATCTGGAATAGTTGAAATGAGGGTGGGAAATGAGGGCGGGAAGTAGAGGGTGTGTAATGTGACACTTCCCAACCTTCAATGACGTTAGAAATGACAGCATTACATATATGGCTGTAAATAAAATTAATAATTTGTCGGTAAAATTGATAAATGATCAGCAAAATTAATACTGAAAAAAAAGTTTTTTAATCCAACCAGTTATTATGTATATACTGATAATTTTGCATCAAGTACTCATTGCTTTATTGTGACTCTTTTTTAAAACCAACTTAGTGTTCGCTATCTACTCTAACCTATGGCATTTCCCAGTTAATTACCCTGTATATCATTCATTTAAAAAATTAATACGAAAGGTATGATCCATTTAATACTATAAAAATATCTACAAGAATATTATTTACACAAATAATCCAAGTCCTTGCATCAATTCGTGAACCTTAACGCATTTTATTACCTATATAGCATAAATTCATATTAACAGTTTTGTGTGCTCTATTGATTTTCATATATTTGAGAACGAAGAAAATCACTTTTTATTTTTCTAAATTCAACAAAATTATTATTTAAATAGTTTTTACTGCTTCCCAAAAATATTTTTATTTGTTACGTAAGTTCGCAAATTACGGAACCGACAGAACCACTGATAAATATTACAATCCGGGCAATGCTGTTTCCCATTAAACTGGCAAGACGCGGCTAACGCCGAGATCGTCGAGCTGGAAAGGCAGTTTTGTTGCCAAATCGTGTAATGCAAATATTACTGAAAGTAACAAATAAATCAATATATTCTGCAAATATATTATACAATACATAAACCAATTCCAAGTCCACGCCTTAGCTGTAATTGAATATCTGTTGAATATCCAGAAAGAGAGGAGCCCCATTAGACTGAGCGGAGAAATAAGATAGATTTATTACACGTACAATTGTCTGTACACAAACAAAGAGAGGGTTCCATACAGAGATATTCTATGAAATGGATGAGGTACCTCTCAACTTCGACCGAACGGAAAGCGGTAGAACAGCCTTAAGGCCAAGTTCAATTTGTTTGACATATAATCACGATTTTTTTTAGGTTAGAAAATTGCATTATCGATTTTTTTCATTCGAAGTAATAAAAGACATCACTTTAAATTTCTATCTCTTTATGTCAACAAATTTGTAACACGATGAATTTATAAAACGTATGTCACTAATGAATATGTGGCGGCAACTGACGGCAACACTGTCAGCTACTCCATGGCTACTAGTGTACATACAGGTCCGGTATAAGCCATGGAAAATAATAATTTAATGTTTTGATCGAGTTAAATAAAATATCAAAATTAAATGTTTATTTTTAAGTAAACGACATTTTTTAAATGTATACGTCTTCAATCAAAAATAATATAGGCTAATACTCAAGTGTATTATACGAGTGTACTGGACAAGAGATACTCCAGTTTTTTGTAATGAAACCAGCGATAAAATAAATATTTGTGTACCAAGGCTGTGTTTTGGCCGAATTAGACATATACGTTCAAGTCTAAGCTAGTTCTGGTTAAGTATAAGAGTAATAGGCAAGAAACGGATGTTCAATCAAACTTGACATCGAGATAGATGTCACATAAGCAGGTGTACTGAAGATGAACTTTGCAGGACCAAGCATCAGATGGGTATAACACTTGATATTCTAAAAACTATGTGGATACTACACTGAATAAGAACGAATGGAAATGTCAGAGGAGGCTAAAGGCAAAAAAATAGGCGGAACAGAGCCTAATAGATAGATAAGTAATATTTTAGCCAGGAGAGAGTCGATGAGTGTTATAAATATAGTTAATTTATGAATGTATTTTTAATGTATAATTTCAGTTTATTTTCATTTTTGGTATAAAACTATTGCTGACATAATAAAAACTCTTAAAAGTATATATATTTGCAATCTTTATTACTATACATTATTTAGTATTCATTTATTCTCTCTGACCTAGGGAAAAGGTCAGAAAACCCTGGTCATAATTGTTTACAATGTTGCGTGTTCCTAATGATACAAAACATTACAGAGGAATTATACTTAGCCGATGAAATCTCATAGAGTTCACGCATGACATATATTGTGGTATGGAATATAGCTAAATCTGATGTATCCTGCAGATTTAAATTTATTTTTGCGTACTGTTTTCTATCAACTGATATCCCAAATTTATACAAGCCACGTCTTCGCACCACAATGTGACATAGCATCAAATCTGCTTAATCTCGTACCATTTTTTTAAGTATCAAGGATATTCTTGGTGTAGCTGATCATCATGTTTCGAGTCATTGAACCTAAAAAATAACAAATATCAATAAATAGAATTCGGAATTTATTCCAAAAATATTTTTCTTTGGGAATTATATAGGATTTCTCGTTAATATACTGACAAACTTTTAAAGGTGGTAGGTGCATCAACAAAAACATTTTTTTGCTTAATAAAATAAAAATAATTTTATTACCCAACAAATTAATCCATTTACAGAACAAAATACATGAAATAAATGTTAAGCATAATATTTCGACAGAAAATAATTTTAGCAACAGCAAGAAAAAAAATGAAAAAAAAAAAAGAATCCTAAATACATTAGCTACAAATTAGTACAACTAATGGTAGAAATAAATATCCCAATCAGAACAAAATTAATTAAAATTTGAGCACATTAGCGTTATAGATGAATTTTTTTCCAAGTTCGTTCAACTACTTGCTGTATAAAATGTTTTATGATATCTAATGGCTGTTTGGGGAACATTAAAATTTATTTAATTTATCAAAAATAGTACATCAATAGTGTTTTGTAATATTTTATAAAAAAATGTAACACTGGAAACTACCCTTCTATTTTCGAAAGAAGCAGAGATTCTTCAATACCTCGAATGGGATACAGCTCATCTATTTTAAAAGAAAGGTACTTGAGAGATCGCCGCTGAACATTTTCCAATGATCTTTTATGAATATTGTAAATAAGGTTCCAGACAAGAGATGCATATTCTGGCCTGTAACGAACTAAAGAAAAGTAAGGATCTCCAAGCTTTAAGAGTTTATAAAAGAACGAGTATTACGAATTAAGAACCCTAAGCTTTTCAACGCAGAAGCAACGGTAGTTTCAATATAATCCGAAAAAGTAACTTTGTGGTTGAATAATATACCTTGATCTTCAATTTGTGCACAAGTCCGATAAAGGTAGGCTGTTAAATAAATATTCAAACTCCACCTTGTTATTACTTTTAGTATAGGAACATACTTTACATTTAGACACATTCATAAACAGCTTGTTTTCATTACACCAATTTTTAACGATTCCCAAGTTGGGTCTGTAAAAAGTAACAGTCTTGAATTGATGAGATTGAGGTAAATATTTTTAAGTCAGCAGCGAACAGCAGGTTAAATTTATTGCCAAGTCATTTATAAATATACCAAATAATAGTGGCCCCAGATTGGAGCTCTGTGGAACTCCAGATGTTTCTGTGAGGGGTGAAGATGAAAATCCGTTGTAAAAGACATAATTAAAACGATGATTTAGGTAAGATGAAAATAATCTCAACAGCGACTGATCAAACCCTAAGCTTTCCAACTTCCTTACAAGAATATTATGATTTTTAATTATTACAAAATACCTTATGGGCAGGTTGTACAAAAAATATTCTAAATATATTTTAACTAACAAGAGTTTTATTTTTAACTAGTTATATTCAAAAACAAATGTCATTTTTAAAACTATGTTTAACAATAACCGATGAGTATACAACAAGGTTCACAGTTTAAACTAAGTCTACATTTGAACTGCCTATTGTACAACCCGCCATATGTACAATTAAAAATTAATTGTATTTCTTTAAAATGCACTTAATTCTGTTGATCAAAACCATTCGATAAAAAAACTAAAAAGTATTTGTATAAAGGTGGTTTTTATATCTATGCTATAAAGCATACATTGGGGTAGCATGTAGATTATCTAAGTATCAGATCAGAGAGATTAAAATTAAATAACATATGTAGTGGGATTATCATCTTTCAGTACGTCTCCTATCGAGACCCCTATTTTTGTTCGACAGACAGCGATTTTAATGTAATGTCTCTCTCTATTCTGTATGTAATGTGTCGAGTTCGCACAAAAGAATTGCTGTCCTGATCAGAAGAAATTAACCACATCAAAGGAAGAAAATTAGGTCCCCTGTTATTTTTAATTTATATTAATGATTGTTGATGTCGCAATATTCAATATGACATTTACCTGTTAGCCTATGATGTCCTTATCTATGTTTCTTGTAAGTTGTAAGGATTCAGAAAACTTAGTAAGAGTTAATTGTCAATGAAACTCTGCAAAATGTTAATAAATGATGTTGAAATCATTTGGTAAAAATCAACACAAATACCTAAAACAAAATATAAGTTGATAAGGTGATAAGTAATAACTATATGCAGTTTGTGGACAAACAATATAGGAAATTGAAAGAAAATCTATTCGCTCCGTGCGCGACAGCAGCGCCAATTTGTTTTGGTATTAAAGGACTATTTCTGCCTATACTGACAAATACAATTTTTAATGGAACTCGTAAATAAAAAGTATATATGTTAGTTTTAATAAAAGTATATGGATTTTTAAAACAAGTAAAACATAAATTTTTTATTATTATTATATATTTTTTTTCGCTTAAATTAAAGAAAATTATGTATAATCAATTAAAATCAATAATAAAATATAGGCAGGCA